TCGGCATGGGATGCAATGCGGCCTCAGCGGGCGTACCTTGGTTCAAGGAGATGTATATGGGATTGTCGGCTCCCTTGCAAAATTTCCATTTTCATGTGGAAGCTGCTCAATAACAACTTGCCTTTCCCTAAAGCATTGCGTAGGTTTGGCTTCCAACTCCCTTCCAAATGTCAGTTCTGCCCTACCGGAGAGTCTCAAGATCACCTCTTGTCCGATTGCTCGCTTGCAACAGAGGTGTGGAATTTCTTCTCCAGGATCCTTCGGATACCTATTCAGCCCTCCAATGGTGTCGTCTGCCGTTTGCAACAATGGTGGCTTTATAAATCTCAAAGTACCGCTCGGGGTGAATTATGTAGGGTACTGCCATCAATCATAAGTTGGGGACTGTGGAAGGCTAGGAACGTGGCAATATACGAGGGTGTTAGGTTGACGCCAACACAGGTTTGTCGGAACATACAGGCTTTGCTACTCATCATTTCCCAATCCCATCCTTTCGTCCAGATGGCGCACGACGACAGGGAGTTGGTGCAATCCGGGTTGTTGCTTAGCATGACACGGAGGAGACATAGGCTCCTGCGCAGGGTCACATGGGTCATGCCGCCAAGCGGGTGTGTGAAGCTCAATATTGATGGCTCGTCCCTAGGAAATCCCGGACCGTCAGGAGCTGGAGGGGTGCTACGTGATTCAGATGGTACCATCCTGAGCGGTTTCTCAACGTTTTTGGGGTCAATGACAAATATGGAAGCAGAGGCCTTGGCGCTGCTGGAGGGCATGCGTGTTTCTGCTGGATTTCACTGGTTGCACGTCGAAATGGATTCTCAAGTCTTGGTGAGCATGGTGACTGGCAATGGAAGCGTTCCTTGGAAGCTATGGAGTACTATCTCGCGCATCAAAGCCATAGCCCTGGGCCGGCAGATTACTTTTACTCATACCTATAGGGAAGCAAACGCAGTTGCAGATGCCCTTGCAAATCTAGCAAGTTCCATGCATGTTTGTCAGAGATTTTCTCCTTCTCAAATCCCGGAGTATATAAAGGGGTTAGCCCGCCTAGATAAGTTACAGATGCCTTATGTACGCTTGGCATAGGTTGCGTAGAGCTTTTATGTTACTGGCAGAATGTCAGCCTCGTCCACCGCACATTGTTGGAATTTTGAATAAATATTGGAGTGGTGCCCACCCCCGTGTACGGGGTTAGCCGAAAAAAAAAGAAAAAGAAAAAATCATGATTAATTGGCCATTAATTGTGATAATTTCAAGGTATTAAATTTGCAATGAGAATTGGAGTTTAACACTAGTTCAAGAAAGTGCTAAATTTAGAGAGTACACTCACAAGAGTAGAGGTACACGTTTGTGGCTTTTTTTTTTACTTTATTCCATGTAATTTCATATCAGGAAATGAACTTGAAGCTAATTTTATAACCACAATAGTATGTATGAATTAGTTATAGGTATAGTTGATTCACTAATAGAGTACATTTCACATTTATTACGTCATAACTAGCCAAGATAGTAGTACTCAATAATTCGAAAACTTGCACTTGTATGAGTAGTTAGGAATACCATGACCTAAGGAGCTTTCATTTGTTAATTTTCTTGCACATTTTAGCATAGTTTTATTTTCTTCAATTTGTTGATCATCTAAATCATAGAGGAGATTTAATGGTGCTGGTAGTTATCTATTCTTCCTTGTGGGTTTGATCCTTAATACCCTGTGCTTAATCTTGATTCATATATTTACGGAAAATTACGTGTGAGGTATTTAGGAATTTATAAATATAAAATTTGATTGCTGATTGAGATTAATTTTGTATGCATACCTTGCACTCGTCGATTTTTTAGAGCCATTGTTAGGGAACATTGGTGGTAATATTAATGTGAAGAGTAACTTTTTTAGTTTAGGCATTTTATTTGTTTTCTTGTGTTTGTTGTGTCTAGTTTTCTTATATGTTTATTGAGTCTTTGCTTGTATGTTTTTGTATGTGTCGAGTCACCTATTTTTCTTGACTAAACTTGTTTTTGAATTATTTTAAAGGCATGTCTAGGGACTGAAGGAGAGTAATAAACATGGGTGGACAATGCATAAGAAATGAAAGTTCGGCAATGGACTCTTACCATGTCCAAAACTCCATGAATAGAGGCAGCCAAAAACGTATCGTGAATATGCCTTTTGAAGATGGTTTAAGGAGTTTAAAGGCTGAATTTGATTATATCACATTAAAAGTGCGATTGGACAACATCATGCATTTGATTAAACGGAACATAAATGTTAATACTTTTAATTCTAATTGTGTGATTTGTAACTTGCGTAGAGGATGTCATGCTTCTTACACATGTATGCAAGTACAAAATATGGATTATTGTGATGAATTTGGGCATTATGACTCTTGTTTTATCAATGCAACCCTAATTGGGGTAATTCTCATGATTATGGTTGGAATAATCAAGGTGCATATAGTAATTCTTCATATTTGTATGATGATTTCCAACCCAATTTTGTCCAATATGAACCTAATCTATCACGGGAATTAGTTATTGAAAGAGTAGGTAATGGACCTAGACAACCTTGGGAGTTAGCTATTGAAAAGTTAGCTAATGTGATATACGATTGTTTTGATAGCGTTGAAGAAAGTATAAATGAATTAGCTTCTCATTTTGGTAGAATTCAAGACCAATTGCATGTTTTGTATGAAGTTATTTCATATAATGATATGCAAAGTAACCTTAACGAGAATAGTGGGAATGTTGTATGTGAAAGCGAATTGTATTTTGATGAAAATGACGAACCTAATTTGTGTTTCAATGAAGAAATGTCTATTTCACATAATAATATCTTTGCAGCTAACTTTGAATCTCGAGAGGCGAGCATTAATGACTCATTTTTAATCCCTCTTGAGAAGTGTGTTGAAAGCATTTTTAATCCCTCTTGAGAAGTGTGTTGAAAGTATAGGTTCTAAAAGTATTATTACCCAAGAAATCCTCGCGGCATCTCTTTTGAAGAGTACTCAAGTGATGCACATTGAAGGTAATATTTATGAATCACTTGAGATTAGTAAGTCACTTTTATCTCTCTTATCATTTGGATATATGGCTCATACAATCAATCCATTTGGATATAACTAGGAATTAATCTAGTAGAACCCGCCAAAAAGGATGAAACCATGCATAGAGCTCTCTCTCTCTCTCTCTCTCTATTTAACTCAAAAACGAATGAAACCATGCAAGAATTGCCAAATGCATTTTGCCTCAATCTGTCGCTCCTTAGGGATCAATCAGTAGTGGTCATTAAGACACATACTAATGTGTGTGTAGTTAATATCGAAATTATTTTTTACAAAATTTTTTAATGGTTTAGATTTAACAAAACTTCCACTATGATAGCCTAAGAGAAGAAAATTCTCACTAGTAAACACTAAGAGAGAGAAAACTCTCACTAGAATATCCTAGGAGAGACTTTATTAAATGTAAAATAAAAATAACAGAGGGATCAGAAGGAATCCTTGATTTGAGACCAAGATCTCCCTTCTATAAATGAAGAATGGTGGAAAGATGGTTGAGAGTGAAGAAATGGTAGAGAGATCGGGTAGGTAGAAAGTGGAAATACCTTCTTTTTTTTTTCAAAAGACAGCGGATTACTAAAGTTGACAATTACAAACCAGTTCACTGCAATTCCAAAAGAACAATCTTTTCGACCTTGGTTTTATTGGATCAAAGCAAGTCAGAAAGGTTGACAAACGGTTTACAGACAAGTGAAATTCATTCCATGAAACAATTTGCTCTATATATGGACAGCATCGCTGTGATAGAGGTTGTAATGCCAAAGGAATCATTATCGTACAAACGAGATAATTGTTTTTTCAGCTTAACTACATCTCTTTTCACCTGGTAAAGGTAAAAGGTTCCCAATTTTTGTTAATAATTGTTTTTAATCAAACAGATCTACTTTCTGTTCAAATTTTTGATAATTAATATTAGGATTAATTTTATATACATTGTTAGTATATACACTATTACTATTAGATATATGACAATGTGCAAAATTTGAATTTCAATTTAAATTTTGCTCATGTCATCCATCTAATCGTGATAGTGTATATTTTGACAGTGTATATAAAATTTACTCTTAATATTAATATCTGATATACCATATTCGACTAAAAAGATGTATTTGGTATGATACAAATTTAAATTTTGAAAAAATAGAAGAGATTCTTGAACCCTTCATGCTCATGCACATCAAGGCACTGTAAAAGTAAAAATAACCAAATCCGATCTAATTTTTTACCGGATTAGGGAAAAAGAAAAACCCGATTCAGATATAAAAGATACAACTAAAAACATGCAGGATTTCGGATTGTCACAATTTCTAGTTATCGTAAGGTTAATCATTTTTAGATTTGTATTGTTAGAATGTTTTTGGGGCCGAATCCACTTTGAATTTGATAAACTCAATAAAAATGCTTTTTAAAAAGTGATGCAGTATAATCAGGTCAAATAAACCCATTTGGAATAAATATTCAGCAATCAAGTTCAGAAAAAAAATTTCAATATTATATTTGCCAAGAAATGAAACAAAAGTTTCATTTTCATTATGGTCTTAATGACACTTACATAAATACGTTGATATCGTTGGCCATAATTGATTTTGACAAATACAAACTAGTTCACTACGCTTCCAAAAGAACAATTTTCCACAATTTGATTATTGAAGCATTAACACGCAGCTTTATTTTGACCATTATACTTACACCCAAATTACAATCAGAATTGCTCATTTTTAAGGCCATTGTTCATCTATAAAATTGCTCTACTGTTAAGTTTATTTTGATGAAAACGCGAACTAAAACAAAATTCCAAGATATCACCTTAAACTCCAAAACCTAACTTAAATGGTCAAAAATAAATTCACAAGCAAGTACTGATATGGAAAAGACTATAAACTATCCAAAAACAAAAAAAAAGGTATTTCTGCTAAGTTTGAGGGTAACTCTTAAGCGTTGTGATGATGATGACTGTAATGACTGGATATACATTCCAGACAAACAAGATGAACAGATGGTGATGTATAGGTTTTGTTATGAATGAATTACTACACAATATTATCTACCAATCCCACTTAAACTTACTAAATTCTCATTAATGGCTAGTTTTCGTTCTTTTGGGACATCACTTACTCCCTAATGCCAAACTAAACATAGAGCCACAGAAAGTGGTGGGGGGGGGCAGAGAGCCATAGTTTCTTATTGATCAGTAATTGCATAATTCTCCAGAAAAAATAATTAACCGAAAGCATTGTCCTCAATCACCGACCTCCAGATAGTAGCGATTCTGCAACAGAGGACGAAGCGTGTGAAAATGGCTTGTCCATCGAAGATGGACATGATAAGTTAAAATCACCGAAACCTTCCTGACTTGAAAAAGACAGGCCACTGGCAGAAATCCCAAGTGAGCTTAAATCTGGCAGTGCCAAGGCGCTGTCCAAGTATAGAACAACTTGACGCATGCTTGGCCTTGCTATGGGCTCTGACTGTGAGCACAACAATCCGAGCTTCATAACCAATTCCACCTCCTCTTTCACATAATTAAGTCCCATGTTTTGATCAACTGCTTCAAGAATTTGCCCTTTGTTCCAGCAAGAAAATACCCAATCAACCAAAATGGCATCCTCTGTTGGGGGATGTGGTTCTGTTGGTCTTCTGCCGCAGACTACCTCAAGCAAAAATGCCCCAAAGGCATATACGTCTGTTTTGGTTGTAGCCTTGCCAGTTCTAGTATGCTCTGGTGCGAGGTATCCAAGTGTTCCAACAACACGAGTTGTTTGAGGGTCTGTTCCATGATCATACAATCTGGCAAGCCCGAAATCTCCTAATCTTCCATTCAATTCACTGTCTAACAGGACGTTGCTGGCCTTTACATCTCTGTGGATCACTATTTGTTCCCATCCTTCATGTAGATAAAACAATCCAGATGCTACACCTCTTATGACTCGAAATCTTTGGCTCCAGTTCAGGGTGTTCTCATGCTGCTCAAATAGAAACCTGTCCAGGCTTCCATTTGGCATGTATTCATAAACCAATAGCAGTTCATCTTTCCGCCTGCAGTAACCTAAAAGTGGAACCAAATTTCGATGGCGTAACCGGCCTATGCTGACAATTTCTGCCACAAATTGTTTCATTCCTTGCCTGGATTCATGAGATACCCTCTTGACAGCAACCTCAAGTTTGGAGCTAGGCAGGATGCCATGATATACCTTACCAAAACCCCCGCTTCCTAGTAATCCCTTGTCCCTGAACCCTTTTGTAGCGATATACAAATCTTTGTACTTGAATCTGTGAGGACCATACTCATGCTCCCAATCCTCAAGCACTTCTGCAAACTTCTTCTTAATTCTCACACGATATATTACACCAGAGATTGCAATTGACAAGGAAGCAATCAAAATTACAGGTAAACCAATTGTTAATACTTTGGACCTTTTCTTAGGTCCAACTCGCGGGAGCTTAGGAAGTTGAGAAAGATCAAGCCCTTGAGCCACACCGTTCATCTTGAAACTCCATCCCAGAAGGCAATGCGATGTCGGCACAGAACCGGTAGATGATGAAAATCCAATATACATGATTTCATTTAATACTGGTGAAAGATCATTGGGTAAAGATAAAAGAGGTTTGTTTGGTTTACCAGCATATATTGGAGCTAATGTGACACTTATATGCTTAGCTGTTCCATCGTAGTCGATCCAAACTTGCATTGCTTTACCACTAGCAAGAGTCAAGTTCTGAACAACACCGTTGCCATTGGAATAATAACCTGCAGGATCTGCTAGTGTGGAGTTCAGCCCGTTGATGTCAATCCCAACGTGGTTATTATTGATATCATTGAACTCTTTGCTTTGGACTGTGTCGAGTTCCACTGCAAAGACATGATTGGTCGGTTTTCCATTGTTTGTTTCATTGAAGAGGCCAAGCTGGTGACTAGGAAGAGCTCCTGGAAGACCTCTTCTTGGTGCAATCACGAAAGCAATTCCATGGCCGCTCATAGTAGGGTATTCAGACACTATAGCAAAGACGAAGGTGGTGGAAAAGGTGAACGCAGAGGAATTGGCTGAATTTTTGAAGCTGACAGGATTAGGAAAGAAGGCATGACCTTGCTGCTCCTTGGTGTCATCAGTTAGCTTCAAGACGCCATTTGGTGTGAGCTGAGCTAAGCCGTCCAGGCTCAAGTTCGTGGATCGGAATCCATTGTAGGTGATACTAAGGTCCTGGCAAGATGCAAAGCCAGCTAGAGCAGAAACCACAAGTAGTATAAGCTTGATCAGAACCAACATGGCTAGCTGATGGCTGAAAGCTCATACTAGCTTGAAAATCCCTCCAAAATTCGATGATGGTTTAAGTAATTTCTTTGCTTGTCATTTGTCAATATGGAATCCGCGGTATTGATGGACTCTAACAAGAGACCTGGACAAGGGATTCTGATTTCTAGGCCTATTGGCCCTTGGAAATATTGGATGGTTACGCTAATGACGAAGCTTGTTTTAGTTCTTCCAATCACCATCACGAGTCCATCAGAAAACCATCACTGTCATGTACATCGTAATGTGACTGTATTATCTGCACAAAAGAATTACTCCCCTATGGTGACAAATCTATACAATCTTGAGATCACATTCTGAGAAGCTTTTAGTATCACTTAAATAGTTAAAAGTCAGATTTTTTCATCTAGAACATTAGAAATTTCCAGTGATTCCTGTGTACCTTGATAATACTACCACATGAATGTCCCCAAAATGATGGTTGCCAATGCAGGAGGAACAACCCGTTTGTGGGTACGCGCCTAGATACAATAGGCTTTAAATAGTCAATCAACTCCAGTGGTCCTTCGTCCCCATTTCTGCTGTAGTGAAACTAAAGTGTACCATGAAGGGGGGTAGATTCTCTACATAAGATTCCACGATTCTTAAAATCTTTCAGGACAAGATTCCACGACTCCAGTCCAGAGTTAACTTGGTGGAAGATTAAAAGAACGGTATGATTAATAGGACTAATTTGGCTTTGTACCCTGAACTTGCTTGTGATTCTCACATCGCATGCTAAATTTTAAGTTTAAACACTCTGCACTCTAATATCTCAGACTTATTCCACCTAATTCCAATCGATAACACTGTTAGCAAAACAAATTAAAATAGAGGATCCTGCAGATTTACGTGTTTTTTGGATGATTGACAGAGGTTGGAACATGATGGTAAATACACTAGGCTCAGTAGAGTGGTTGAGGTATATGTTGTGCATACAATCTTCAATGGATTGAATATGAGAAATTAAAGTGTAAAGTATCTAAAATTAAAATTTAAGGTATAAAATGAGGATAGGGTACAACTTCGAAGGTACAAAATGAAATTAGTCCTTATTCATAACCAAAATAATTAACCTCTGTAACTTTGAAAATTACACACAAATATAACACTCCCTCCAACCTTATTTATCTTATTTATATCGTTTGAGATTTTAAATAATCGGAAAATTATCTAGCAATAAAATATCTAAAAGATAGGGATAAAAATATAGAATAATGATAGACGTAAAAGAAAAGCCAATGATTGAGAGTGGTTTACAATTCTCACAATCGCAGCTATTGTCATCTTCATATTTTCCTAACCAAAATTTGACTAAATTAATAAATTATAATTAATGTCATTCGAGAATCTTTGAATTCTCTTGAATTATATATAACTTAGCATTCCATGGAAACAGCTGTAACTTGGTACTTAGCATTCCAAAGTTTAAATGATTTTCTGTCTGTGTTCTACTTGGAAGAAAGGAAAAGAAAATTCAAAACTGATCAGCGTAACTCCGACTCACTGTATTCTACGTGGAAGAAGGGAAAAGAAAATTCAGAGCTGTTCCTTTCTTTCTAATTTAGCTGTCTGGATTCTGGTTTGTTAGCCTTGAAAGTCTCGCGGTTGAATGGAAAAGTTTCTCAGGAAAAAAAAAACCGCAAAAACTTTTAGGTATTTAACAACGAATGATTTTGGTATTTATTGCCATGACGTTGAAAAGTCTGTCATTAATATGAGAGCGCGACATGTCCCAATGACCCTCAAATTATTATAAAATTCAATTCTTGATGCTTTAACTATTAAGAGCTTATCATTGCTGCTCTACTTCTTCTTCAGGAACTCGCCGAAAACCATCACCTATAACCTTGCCGGAGTTGCCTCTCTCTCTCTCTCTCATACCAAGATACAATTCATACACTAAAATTCTTACAAAATTACTGCAAAATAAGAGGAAAGAAAAAAAAAAGACAAAATAAATATTACCTCCCAAAATTTTTACTAAAATTTTCTTTTGGTCATTTCTTCAAACAATTTGAGAGCTTAAAAAGGATTAGCAGGTCCAAGTCCAACTTAAGTCATGGTTGACCCAAAAATTTTCAAAAGATAAAACAAAATTTTGATCATTCATAATGACAAAATGATAAAAGCAAATAAGCATGCTAATCAAGAGCAACGAAAAGCAATTGGCATGTGATTCATATAAACATTTGAAATTATTAAAAGGAAATTTGGGATAGAAGGCAGAAAGACCTTTATAGGGCTATTCTGATAATGGTTCGGCAGATAGTGGTGGATTCCAACGACGACCAGCGGAAACTCTTGCACTTCAGCTCTTCCTTTTCCTCTTGTCCCTTTTTTTTTATTTTGGCTTTTTTTCTATTTTTTCTTTTCTTGATTTTTCCTTTTTGAATTTGGATGGAATATAAGAGTTTAAAGCTAAGATTGGAGGACTTTTGGAGGTTGGATTAGATAAAGATTGAAAAGATGAAAATGGTCTATAGATTTTTGTGGCTCAAGTTTAAGGGAAGGTGCAAAATGGAAGCTGAGGTCTCTGGTTTAGGTGATTAAGGCTGTTGATAATGAAGTCATATGACAATGATTCTTAATGATAAGGGATATAAGTGTACATTTTAATTCGTTCGGAGGTAAAACTACTCGACAAATAATTGAAACGTCAAAAGTTGAACTTCGTAATAGTGTTAGAACCACAGGAGCATCTTGCCCTTGACATGATAATATCTACGCAAATTGATCTTGAGTTGTAGGTTCAACTCCACAAAAGGCAGCTAACAATATGATCATATTTCTACGAACTCTGTGATATATATTCATGTTCTAGGCATCACAAGCAAATATTCATTAGAGACTGAATGGTGTATCTATATAGTTAGTCAACACTCAACATTTTATTGAAGGCCAAAGTCATATCTTTTGCGAAAAATAAAAAGATGCCAAAGTTTAATAAGTTCAATCACTTCGTAAAACTAAAGCCGACTCAAGTCTGTTCAAAAAAAAAAAAAAAAAAAAAAGGTCAGTTCAAAGGAAACTCTTACTTTGTAATTCCAGAAAATTTGGAGAGTGGGAAGGTGTCTTAATAGGTGTAATAGGATAAATGTTTTTCTTCTTTCTTTTCTTTTTCTCTTTGTTTTTTCTTTTTTGGTTAGAAAACCAAAACGGGATGATATTCGTGCTCCAAACGTTTATCCGATAAGAAGTTGTTCAAGTGAAATGGGCCCTTTTCAATAATGTTGGTTGCAAGAAATGGGATAATGAGACCCAATCATGATTGAAGGCTGATGTGTGACAACAATAACTTTAATTGTTTTAATGACTTGTCAATTGAACAATTAGGTAAGCGATTCAGATGCCATGTATGTGGTTTTATTCTTCCCACTTCTTCATTTGTTGTAGAATTTTCATCACACTCCGGTATGCGAAGTCTGCCTCCATGAAACGTCCAAACACTTTCAGAAATGGAATTAGAGAGAGAGAGTGTAGAATGGGAAAGAAGGGCCGGACCTACTCCAAGGCATACTCCAAGAATAAAGGACTTTTGACAACAAAACCAAACTGTCTTTTACTAAGAAAGGAACAAAATGGTTAAGTTAGTTTGTTTCACTAAAAGTTTGTTATTTATATAGAAAAGACAACCCGAAAGACATCAAAACTAAATAGTCACTTGAATGATCATCATCAAGAGGCTGCTTTAGTCTCCTTTAATGGGCAAAAGTACCAAAACTGTTTCATCACTATAATGATCATCAATAGGTTGCAATTAGTCTCCTTCAATGAACAAAAAAATGTCAAAACTATTTCCCAACTATAATGGTCATCAAGAGGCTACATTAAGCATTTTTCTTTTGTCCAATATTTTGAATTTAACAAGCTTTATTTCCATTTCAATTCACAAACTATTCTAACAATCCCCCACATAGTTTGTGAATGAAATAAACTAACACACATAAAACACCATGTATAAAGATAAACATCGTTAGATTTAAACTTATCTTTTAGTGTTAGTATATCACTTTGAACTAGTTAATCATGGTTGTTTATAAAATATTAAATCAAGATTTGTAAATTAGCCAAGAAATTTCACACAAATGGTATTTAAACATTTGATCAATTCACAGAATTTTAGCACTCTTATTGGCCATGTGCTTTGTCTTAGTTTCATGATCATTTACAAAAGTTAAGCATACCTTTGGTAGAAGCGGCACCACTTCTATGACCATATAGGTGAAATCACTTTCAAACTTTACGTAACAAAGCACTTTGAAAGCAATTACATTTCATTAAAAATATAACTAATCATATATTCAACCTCCCATTTTACACACTAGTGTCTAGTGGGATCGATAACTTTAAATACAAAGTACTAGTGTTCTTAATCACTTAACAACTTGTTATTACCCTTTAAACTTTTTCATCTAGTAGTAGTGTTAGAATGAAGGTAGAGTTCCTATTGTAAGTGACTTTAGACAAATGGTTTCAACCCCATTTCCAATGGCATTATAATCACTAACTCGATCCCTTAGTAAAGGTTTAGTCAACGAATCCGCTAAATTGTTGTATGTTCTTACATGTACAACTGCCACAACGCCATCTCTTAACATTTGTCTAAGATACTCATATCTTAGATATATATGTCTACATTTACCAATATATTCCTTATTTAAGACTCTGGACATAGTGGCTGCACTATCACAATATTCAGACACTCGGTCTCTAGCAACCTGATCCAACCACCAATTTCAATTAAGTCAATTCAGCAAAGCCTATGCCTGCATATTATTAGGATCCAATACTGGATTGAAAACCAAGAAAATTTCAGCAAAACGGATTGATTTTATAAAAATAACAACATTCAGTTGTCTTTTATACTCCGATACCTCCATTAGAGAGTAAGTAAAAGCCAGCAAGCGGTGTTTTGAACCAGCTTTTTAGCATCACCGAGTCCCTGAACAAAGGCACGAAATAAGGCATTCAATTGGAGTAATGGAGTTCAAATGCTCACCGGAAAGTACAGCCATACAGGCAAGTGCTGGGAGAGCACCCAGTAAAACCCTAAATTATTAGCTTTCAAGAGATCTAAGTATACATCAACGAGCGAAGTAACTTCCCCATGAAGACAAGCTCTCTCGGGAAGCTTATAGAAGTCGGCAAAGCTTCTCCAAGGTCCATACTCTCAAAAACTTGTTTTTTGTGTTTTTACGGAACTTCAGGTTGAATGTTACATGAGAGAGTGTTCCTGCTGACAAAATTGTTGAGGATTAACTGCTGTGTAGATGAGAGGGGAGAGGGAAAATTAATTGGTGATTAAAGAGAGAGTTTGCACTTTGCATGTGATCAGTCTTCCATTTGATGCATGAATTTTGCCTTATAAAATCTGATTTGTTAATGTTAGGAAATTGGCTTAATTTTTTTTAGGTAGGTTTCTTATTTTGTGTGAAAGTAACTAGTTTTCTAGTTGATTTTAGTTACTTGAAGTAGTAGCCAAGGAATTTTCTATTTTGTTTAGGATTAGAAGTTATTTCCTATTCTATGTAAGTCTAGAAATTAGAATAATGGTTCTTATAAATAGGTGGGTTGGCATACTATACAAAGATACACAAGGGTACACAAGAGGTGACATGTAGCCTTATACATGGGTGATGAGAGAGGGTTCTTGAGAGATGAGAGATGGTAAACAAGAGTTGGGTTTGGATTCAAGTTGTATTATTATATAGGGTTTTCCTTTCATAATAAAGAACGGATATCTCTTCGTGGATGCAGGTTCAATGGTGAAGTCGAACCACATTAAATATTGTGTGTCATTTATCTTTCATGCTTGTGGCTTGTTTATCATTAAATTGTTGTGTACTTGATATCTCAATAGTTGTGTGTTCCGCGCTTGAATCCTAACAAGTGGTATCAGAGTTTGGTTGCGAGACTGGATTGTTCACAAGCACTTGGATCCCAACAAACGGAATGGTTGGATCAAGAGTTTGGTTATTCAAGGTTGGATCCTAGTTAACTATTGAGATGAAATGGATTGGCGGCTGTTGCCAATTGAATAATTTAATGAGTGGTATCCTTATTTCAATGGTTTGGCAAAAAAGTATTGATGGTGAAGGATAGGAAAGTCGAAAAGCATGGAGATACTTGAAGGTGAATTTAGGCAAGTGTTTCAAGGGTCAAGAAAAAGGTGGAGTCCAATGTTGATTTTGGACGTGAATCGGTAGAGATTTTCTCACACCTCCAATGGTTAAAACTTCATCCCGATGGATTTTAGATTTCGATTATGTTTTTTGGGTGGTGTGGTACGTGTCCCAAAGAAACAAAAAAATCTAATTTTTATCCGCCAGAAGACTCTGACAATTACGAGTTTTTCGTTTTAGGTGGAATCTTGAAAACCACACATGGCGAGACAGTCCTAAGAATGGAAAGAAGTATAATAATTTTATCATTTGATTGCCTCAATGGTTAGGGTTAGAACTCACAGAAGGGGATCCCAAATTGCAAGTGGTGGTGAGAAGAAATCCTGCAAAGGGAGATGGTGAATTGAGACACCTTCTCACGAGTCAACTGGAGGTTGGACTCGAGATAACTACACATGTTTATTTGCCGATTGAATCAATTTGGTGTTAGGACTGTATTGATTCGGGTGTGTAGTTTGGTACCATATTATTTGGTAGTTGAAGGCAAATAGTTGTTAAAAGAAATTTTCGCCAAGGTGAAAATTTCTTAGGAAATTGGTTTAATTTCTTTTAAGTAGGTTTCTTGTTTTGTATGAGAGTAACTAGTTTTCTAATTGGTTTTAGTTACTTGAAATAGTAGTCAAGAAATTTTCTATTTTGTTTAGGATTAGAAGTTATTTCCTATTGTATGTAAGTTTAGGAATTAGAATTGGTTTTCTATTATTATTTGGGTATTGGCTAAATAATGTTCCCTATAAAACAAAAATACACAAGGGCACACAAGAGGCGACATGTAGTCTTATGCATGGGTGATGAGAGAGGGTTCTTGTGAGATAAGAGATGGTATACAAGAGTTTGGTTTGGATTCAAGTTGTATTCTTGCACAGAATTTTCCTCTCATAATAAAGAACGGGTTTTGGACGTAGGTTTAATGGTGGAGTCGAACCACGTTAAATATTGTGTGTCATTTATCTTTCATACTTGTGGCTTGTTTATCATTAAATTATTGTGTACTTGATATCTCAATAGTTGTGTGTTTCGGATATCTTAATAGTTGTGTGTTCCACGCTTGAATTCTAACAGTTAAGTGTAGTTGTGGATCTCAGTCTGCAAAATTCTAAGCCATATTAAAATTTTACCCAGCACCAAGCTATGCATAAAAGAAGATTATGATGATTCATGAATTCTTGTTTACAAATGTGTTTTTTGTTAATCCTCTTTACTCATAGTCCTACAAATATAAAAGAGCGACCAAATGTTAATTAGATATGGTTTGAATAAGTAGTCAGAAAAACTACATACAAGCTGTTTACAATTATTATTTTATCAACAAAAGGACTCTGAATTGATATTAAACAAAGTGTTTGCATAGAACTTCCTTATTTCCTGTCAAAAACGAATGAAACCATGCAAGACTTGCCAAATACATTTTTCTGCAATCCATCCCTCCTCAGTCATCAATTAGTAGTGGTGATTAAGGCACACCTTATTGTGTGTACAGTTAATGAAAAATATATTTATCAAAATTATTTCTTTTCAAATTTTTTTATTGGGTTGGATTGCTTTATAATCTAGATTATCGCATGCAAAGGTGATAGAAGTAGATAACAAATTGTAACACCTTTTACTTAACAATGTAAATCACTTTGAACCACAGTGCGAAATTAGAAATTATTTTGTAAAACCTGCATATTTTATTGAAAGAAAGAGTATAGAAATTTCATTCGGCCATTCCTTTCTAGAATGGGTGTGGAAGGTCCAAGGTGCACTGGCATGGTGAAATCTGGGGTGTCAATTACAGATTGCGGGATCCGACAATCACAGTCCTGAATTGTAGGTTGCAATTAAGAGTGTGGATGAGTTTGGTTTCAAATCTTTTTAATATAAAACATAATATTTCATTTCATGAAATCTGAATCAATGTCAAAAAATACATTAAACATGTCATAGATACAATTAATTTAAAAAATCATTAGATTTAGCAGATCTAAAAAACAACAAAGATTACACTATGAAACTCCAATGGATCAGAAAAATTATGAGCTATCCAATGAATATTTATGCATGTCAACACCATCAGGTTTGCTATCTAATTAGTTCAAGTTTAAAGTCAATGTTGGGATCTGATAAAATGACTTAAAAAATCCCAAATCTGATATATAGGTCTAAAAAAAACTCTTAGATCTAATAAAGAAACAATAAAAAACTAAACAAAACTCCTGCCAAGATATTATGGGAGAGAAGAAAACTCTCATTAAAAAATTTTAGGATGGAGGAAAAGTCACACTACTAAACACTAAGAAAGAGAAAACTTCACCAAAATCTACAATCAGAGACTTTATTGAATATAAAACAAAAGTAGAAGGAGACCTTAACATGGAGAAAAAAACTGTCAGAAGGTTTTAGAGAATATAGAGAAACTTTGGAGAAAGCGCATTTTGATTGCGATTTGAAATCTAGTGAATGAACAATTTTCAAAGTATATCAAAGTTTGTTAGGGTTAATTACATTAACCTCCTCTGAGTTTTGACCATATTACAAAATAAAACCTTAGTTTGGTCAAATGACAGTGAACCTCCTTGAATGTACAAACGTATATCAAGTGCACCCCTGCCATTGAAAAACGTTAAACATGATGCTGCATTAAAAAAAAAAAAAAAGGCTTGATATATTTTTTCTTTTTTTGTGTGGTAAGCGGAGCTGCTATTGAAAGATGTTTGTACATTCAAGAGGGTTCACTGTTATTTTGTAATATGGGCGGCCCATCCTCCATGGCACCTACCTTCAATACCCACCAAAAGTTCACCAATTCCCTTCAAATTCGGCCAAGCAAGACAACTTAATGACCCCTTCACAAGGCAATTTCCTGAAACTATTATTCCTTAATCCTAGCCATGGTCTTTTCTTTAGAAAATTTTTACAAGTGGGCTGTAGGAGTATACTGCCATCGGAGGCCAAAAGGAAGTGAAGGTAGTAAAATTGGTTCCCCCAAATCCCTTACCTTCTGTAGAGTTGGCAGATATATATTTTTTTCCCAAAACGATAACACATTCCATTTCCAGAAAACTAATTAAACTGTTGGAGCAACTGGTCTTACATCTTTTTTGGCTAAACTAGTAAGCCATATTGGGAAAGATTCCTTCCAACTAATTTCATCATACAGGCTTATGGCAAATTTTGCCAGCTTGTGAGACACTCAGTTACCATCTCTTTTAACAAATGAGAAGCAACATTCATCGAACCCTTGGCTTAGCTTCAGTATATCAATTAAGATAGTCCCTGTAACTGAATCTTCAGCATTCATATCCTTGAGCTTATCAACCATTTGTTTACAGTCAGATTGGATGACATCTTCGTTCCAGCCACTCTGCTTTGCCTTGATGACAGCTTTTCTGATTGCTAAGGCTTCCTCCACTGTTGGGTTTTCGTCTCTCCTTTCACCTCCTGCCCAAGCTCCAACAATCTCCCCATCCTCCCTTCTGGCCACTACCCCCCAACCTATTCTCCTTTCCTTTTGCTCCAAAACTGCATCAGAGTTTAGCTTGATAAACCCCTGCGGGGGTGGATGCCATCTACTCGATTTTGCCACTTGTTTTTCCCCGTTTTCCTCTGTTTTGTCTTCTCCAATGCTCACTTCTTTATATTCAGACCACTCATGTATAGCTTTATTTGCAGTTCTTCCTGGACAGTTCCTAACCCATTAAATTGTACTTGGTTTCTGGACTTCCATATCTGCCATAGGATATTCACTATCAATGTAATGTGATTCCTTCCTTCTAGTCTTTCCTTTACTTCCATCAAGCTATTCCACCAATGCCAAAAATTGTGCCTAAAATCCTTTAACCCATCCCAATTGATTGGTGCTGCCTTCCAGATGTACTCTGCATGCTTGCAAAAGAAAAACATGTGCTCTACCGTTTCTGTCATTTCCCCACAGCACCTGCATTTGTCCTCACCTTTACTGTTCTCCTTTTGATAGGCTCATTAACTGGTAAAACATCATGCAAGCACTTCCAAATAAAATGCTTCAACTTATGTTTCATTTCCAAGCTCCATAAAAACTTCTAAGCCTTGGAGTTAGGTACATTTCTGCTATTACTGGCCTACTGCCTTTTCTCTATCAGTTGGCAGATGTTTATATCCTTACTTTGGCAAATTTGGTTTTCTTTGTTGTGAATTTTAATAAAAGTTGAAGTATATCCAAGTGGGTTGCCTTTCCTTCAATTTCATATTCATTGTCTTTGTGAGATTTGTTGCCATTATGATTAATGGTGAAATTTGAATGTGTGGAGAAGATGAAATAATTGGATTTAGCAGTGAGGAAGGAAAGGTGCAGGGTGGGTGGGGAGTCAGATAGCCGTCGATTGCAGGTGAAGAAGTTTCTTTTTCCTAAAAATTTATGCGTTTTTTCTTAATCCCCTTTCTCTTGCATCCCTTGATGTACAAAACATAGAAGTAAAACAGAGAGGACTAGCTCCACTTTGTATTCCGAACTTGCGTTACTCTCTCATTTCACACTTTAAAATTTAATTTTAGACACTTTACTTCTAAAATCGCAATTTTGGACACTTTGTGCCCTAAATTCTTATGTTTGTCTCATTTAAATTCAATCAATGACAATTTTAGCAAAATTAATGACATAGAAGACCCAACAAATCAATGACAATGAGTTGAAAGTGATCAAAATGTGCTAAGGTATTGTAGAAAAAAATTAAATAATATATAGTCATTAATTTACACTATCTTTTATCTCGTTAATTTTGCTAATAATATTAGTGATTGAGATGATATAAATCAATGATCATATCATGAAAGCGGTCAAGAAAAAAAAGGCTAAGGTATCACAATTAGAATAAAAGGTATATTATCATTAATTTTTACCATTACTTATCTAATTAATTTTGCGAACGTAATTATTTATTAGACTTAAACGAAACGAATTTAACAGTTTAGGGTGTGAAGTATTCAAAATTAAAAATTTAAGACGTAAAGTAAGAAGGTGGTATAAGTTGAAGGGCGCAAAGTGGAGTTAGTCAAAAAAGAAACGTTGCATGAATCAAGAAGAAAAAAAAAATTAGCGTACAGAAACTGCCAGTTGGAAGAAAGCTCCATTTGCCTTTGGCTGCGGGTAAGATGCGTGTTACCAGGTTCATAGTTTCATCCAAAGACATAACATCTTGTTGACTTTGCGGTCACTGGTGCAACGATGGCCCGTTCCCGGCCGCCTCGGGTAAGATGCGTGTCTACCAGGTTCACAGTTTCATCCAAAGGCCATAACATCTTGTTGACTTTGTGGTCACTGGTGCAAGGATGGCCCGTTCCCGGCCGTCCTTCGTACTAATCTACTACTAGACTTCAGTCTTTTGAAAGGCGTTAATTGAGCGCGCCTTGAGAGTTGAGACCCTTATCTGGTGTCTGGGGTGGGGCGTTAGTAAAATGCTCCGGTCAACGACGGAGCCCTGATTTTATTTTTTTTTAAGGCAGGTCAAAATTTTTTCTAATAGAATTATCTTAATATGTTATATTCAAAATAATATATATAATTATATATATATTAATTTTTATAATAAAAATAAAAATTATAAAATATTAGAAAAGCTAATTTTATTTTATACATATATTTATATATTATAAATTAAAATTTTTAAAACTTAAAAAGATCATGATGCTCATCAGCCCCTGGCTCCGTCATTTCTGGCAGTGGATGTGAGCAAGTCTTAGGCGTGCGCCTCAATCTCAAAGGTGCGTTTTTTATGCCCCAGAGTATGAGGCGGTTGAGCCAGTGAATCTTGAGTATCTTTGTTTATATGCTTCAATCATGAGCTGGGGTTTAATTTTCAAAGAGTTTAATTTAAAGGAAAAGGGTGCTGTATTCATAATCACTGAAAAAAATGGACTTTACAGTTGATTTATCATGAATAAAAAAAAGCCAATAAGCGATAGTGGAAGCTAGCTGACCGCCATCTGCAATTGCAAGTTCGAAGTTGCAGCCACGTGGATAAGGGGTCGGGAAAGATGACAAGTCTTGAGATTTGCACTTTGACCCACTAGATTTTTGGTCATTATTATTTTGGTCCTTATGTTTTGGCTCACATTTAAACTTTAGTTCACATGTTATCTCAATTGTCATTAACCGAAAAATTTTATTTTAAAATTTTTGTATAGTACTATTACATACCATAATAGTTAAATATCTAAACTTACTTTTAATATCATATATGTCTTTTATTAAATTTAATCATTTTTCATACCTACAACTACTGTATCATGAACTTTTACCTATTTTTCAATTATAATATATTTTGCTATTTTTATATTTTTATATATTAAAAATTTAAAATTTGTGGCCCCATGCCTAGGGACTTTCGCCCCGTTTGGGCGAAAGAAAAATGTCTTATCCAATGCTTTTGTCTTTTAAAGCACTACTATGAGTTTGCAAAATGAACCCATAAAAATTCAGGAATGAAGATCTATCAACAAAATGATATGTAACAAAATACTCTGCTTGATCAAGATATGCCCGATCAACTTTGATTACTGAAGTTCAACTTTTAATAAAACATAGTTTCACTTCAAGAAGATCTTTTCATGAATTAAATGTGTTTGAAGTGTTTTTTTCCCCCAAGAATTAATGCGTTTTTCTTTCTACCCAAACAAATTTTATGGGCAATTTCAAATTTTCACTAGTTCTATAATGCTAAATTAACAAAAGTTAGCGTGAGGGGCGTCTGTTATTTGGTCAAATCGTAGGTTTATTCGGCGATATGATCAGATGTCAAGGGTGGTAGATGTAATTAACCCAATTTGATATGGTATTGCACATTGTTGTGTTACATAATTGCACCACATAATTGGGAATCAAAGTCAATAATTGCAATTGCTCGGCCGACCTACAGACTCCGGAATCAACGTCAATAATGCGATTAGCAAACTCCGGGACACTTCAAGTCCACGTCCGATAAATTTAACCAAAAAAAAAAAAAAAAAAGGTCCATATCCAGTGAAGACAGTGGTTCAAAGTCCGGTCCAGTCCCTATCGATGGTCCAAAATTCTGGCCCTACGGCCATATTTGATTTTGACAATTACAAACCAATTCACTGCCGCTTCTCGAAGAACAATATTTTCCCCAATTTGATTACTATAGCATTAACACGCAACTTTCCTTTGATTCGTACCCTGCCATATTATAATTAGAGTTGCTCATTTTTAGGCCATTGTTCATCTATAAGAGTATTTTACAGTTTAGTTTAGGTTTAAATTGATGACCACGCAAAGCTAAAACCAAATTCCAAGATATCACTGTAAAATCCGGAAATGGGACTTCACAAGTTCCATGTCACACAAGTTGGTGTAAATTAACAATTTATATCAAATTGTCCTCAATTTATACTAAATAATAATAATCAATTTATACCAAAATGTACCTGATTTACACCAAATAATAGCAAATCAACATACACTGAACTGTACTAGATTTACATCAAACTGGATTTGACTCACACCGAAATCCTACTAATTTAATTTACATTAGAGGTCAACTTGTGCGAAATCGTAGGAAACACAGATTGTGAGACCTGGATCCATGAAATCCAAATCCTAACTTGAATGGTCAACAATAACTTAACAGGCAACTTAACAAGCAAGTACTGATATGGTAAAAACAATAAACAACCCAAAAAAAGCTATTTCTTTTTAGCTTAGGGGAGGCTCTTGAGCAGTGTGATGGTGATGACTAGATGCCTAGATGACTGGATATACATTTTAGATAGAGAAGATGACTAGATGGTGATGTACAGGTATTGTTATGAATTAATTACTGCTCAAGATGATCTTCCAATCTCATTTAAACTTCCTAAATTCCTCATCAATAGCTAGTTTTTGTTCTTTAGGTACATTGTTCACTCCCTAATGCCAAAACTAAACTTACTGACCAACAATTACATCAGTTGCATAATTCTCACAAAAGTCATTAACAGAAAGCTTTGTCCTCAATCACCGACCTCCAGACAATAGCGATTCTGCAGCAGAGGAGGAAGCGTGTGAAAATGGCTTGTCCATTGAAGATGGATATGATAACTTAAAATCACTGAAACCTTCCTGACTTGCAAAAGACAGGCCAGTGGCAGAAATCCCAAGTGAGCGTAAATCTGGCAGTGCCAAGGCGCTGTCCAAGTATAGAACAACTTGACGCATGGTTGGCCTTGCCGTGGGCTCTGACTGCGAGCACAACAATCCGAGCTTCATAACCAATTCCACCTCCTCTTTCACATAATCAAGTCCCATGTTTGGATCAACTGCTTCAAGAAATTGCCCTTTGTTCCAGCAAGAAAATACCCAATCAACCAAAATGGCGTCCTCTGTTGGGGGGTGTGGTTCTATTGGTCTTCTGCCGCAAACTACCTCAAGCAAAAAGGCGCCAAAGGCATATACGTCCGTTCTGGTTGTAGCCTTTCCAGTTCTAGTATGCTCTGGCGCGAGGTATCCAAGTGTTCCAACAACATGAGTTGTTTGAGGGTCTGTTCCATGATCATACAATTTGGCAAGCCCGAAATCTCCTAATCTTCCATTCAATTCACTGTCTAACAGGACGTTGCTGGCCTTTACATCTCTGTGAATCACTATCTGTTCCCAACCTTCATGTAGATAAAACAATCCAGATGCTACACCTCTTATGACTCGATATCTTTGGTTCCAGTTCAGAGTGCACCTAGGCTGCTGGTATAGAAACCTGTCCAGGCTTCCATTTGGCATGTATTCATAAACCAATAGCAGTTCATCTTTTCGCCTGCAGTAACCTAAAAGTGGAACCAAATTTCTGTGGCGTAACCGGCCTATGCTGACGATTTCTGCCACAAATTCTTTCATTCCTTGCCTGGAATCATGAGATACCCTCTTGACAGCAACCTCAAGTTTGGAGCTGGGTAAGATGCCTCGATATACCTTACCAAAACCGCCTCTTCCCAGTAACTCTCTGTCCCTGAACCTTTTTGTGGCGATATACAAATCTTTGTACTTGAATCTGTGAGGGCCATAATCATGCTC